GTTGTTCTTCTTTTTCTTCTGCTTCTAATATTCTTAACCAGAGAACTGATTTTGTCTCTACTTGCTTTCAGAATATCTTTCTAGTTTGGATGCTGAATATGCGAGGGAGTCCACTAGACAAAAAGCTTAACCCAAGGCAAGAACCACTCAAGTTTCGCCCACTTCTTAGTGTATCACGTACTTGAGCTTTGTTGACAGCAAGTTTACTTAATGTAAAACTAAGAATATTATCCATTTTGGAGCCAGAGTCTTCAATCTACTTTCAGTGCCAACTTGGTCCAGATGATCATCGAAAAGAGTTGAATTTGATTTTTTTTATTTCTGTTTTTTTGAATATTGTTTTGTATAATATTTGTATTAGAATTCTGGTTTTTTTCTTTTTTTTAAGTCTATTTTATGCTATTACTATTACAATTTTTCATATTTATTTTCATAAGCTTTTTTGTTCATTATAGCTTGTTAAGTATCCTTGAGTTTCATCTTTATTATTTTAATAAACTTGACATTCTGTTATTAAATATACTTTTGGTTTTCTTCTATTTAACTCTATTAGTGTTGATAAGTTATTCATTATATACTTGATTGTTGTGACTTTTTTTGTACATAATTTTCTTATAATACAATATATATTTTTTATTTTACTTATCTCTTTTTAAAAACTTAACTAGTTGTAAAATATATATAGTCAACTCTGTATATACAGGACTGCATATTTTAAAAGGTTTTGTTTAGTATAGAGTAAGTTCATTATATAAGATTACTCTCTTTATACTGAACAGTTCAGTATATATAGCTAACCAATAGAAATATGTGCATATGACCAAGATCGAAAAAAATTTTATTTAATAATAAAAAATATTCAATTTAATCATGCAATGCATAGATTACTACCCAAGACAAAGTGTATATATATAAGATATATATATATATATACACAAATAATAATAAAAAAATAAACAAAAACTATTCTAAAAAAAAATTTTTTTTACTGAAAATAGTGGCATAGATCAGCTTGTTTGAGATTATTTATAATATTTAACTGAACCTGCTTGTGAAATTTTCTTAAAATTTTAACTTCTTCCTTGACTTCACCAAACTCTGGTCCTTGTTCATATAAGAACTTTAGTGTTTGGGTTATGCAATTTTCTGCATTTGTATAAGTGATTTTTTCTTGTTTAATAGGAGTTTTCTCTTCTTTCTCACTTTCATTTTTGTCTTCACTTTCAATAATCTCCAAGATTTCTTCTTTAGTAAGTCTGTTTTTAACTTTATTATCCTCAGCATGAATATATTCATATGCAGTAAGAAGGTCAAGAGAGTCATTGGTTGGTAAGTAGTCAATTAATTTCAAAAGATTTGATTCATCATCTATATTGTTAGAATTTTAAATTTTTTTTTTTTTTTTTAAAAAAATAAAGTGTAAGCTACATTTCACTTTAAAAATATCAATACTAATTATATCTATTTTGGTTAGGTTCAATATGTTCTTCAGGGTTTACTTGTAGAAGAATACCAGTTTTTCATTAGCAATTTTTAATAGTATTAGATGATACTATAGACCATGCTTCAGCTGAATTAATTATAGCATCATAAATATTATATAGTATTATTTTCTTTATTACCTATTTTGTACATCATCATATGCTTTAATCTAATTTTGGATAAAAAGGCTTTTATAATAGCATTTAAATGAATAAATAATTCTTGCATTGCAAGATTGGAGGACCAGAATTGTATGTGCTGGGAGAAACTCTACTTGTATACAGTTTAATTTTGGCTTTGTTTTATCGAACACAACATATACTGGTGCTCTATCAACTAAAAGTATAATTTTTTTATTTTTTTGGTTCATTTGACTATTAAACTTGAGGAGAAGATCATTGAATATACTTATTTGCATCCAAGCCTTTTTGTTTAAATAATAATGAACAGAAAGATTATTATAGTTAATATTTTGTAAGGCATGTGGTCTTGTAGAAATGTATATAAAAGCAAGTTTTATTTTTTTAGTTCTACTTGCATTTATAGCATATAATATTGATAAACATGCTTTTTCTTTTTTATGTCCAGCTAATTTTGAACAAGCCAAAGTGTAAGAAGGTTCTATTTTCTAATAAAGCCCTGTTTCATCTGCATTTCAAATATCTTCAGAGTTGTAGGGTTGAAGTAATTATTGTAAAACAAGCCTGTTTTTTTCTATTTTCTCTAGAGAAGGCACACTTGCAGATTTGCCCTCTTTTTTAAACTGATGAAGTCTGTAACATTTTTTAAACCCAGTCAGCCAACCAGCAAATTGGTGAAAATTATTAATAAGAAGATGTTCTATGAAAAACTTTGCCTTTTCTTTGAGAATATGCCTATCAATATCTTGACCACTATTAAGCATATTATTCATCCAGAGTCCAAGTGCTTCTTTAAGTTTTGACCATTTTGGCATATGAAATTTCCTTATCTTACCTTCTTCTTCAGTTGTAATGGCTAACCAATGTTCTTTTTCTTTTAAAATATCTAATATAGTTGACTTTTCTACACTATACTTGTTTGCAAGATCTATATTTTTATCAATTGGATTTATTTCCTTTTTTTTACAAATCTCATATTTTTGTGCAGCAGAAAGAGTAACTCATTTTTTTGTTGACATAATTACTGACATAAAGTATAAATAACCTGTAATTACTAGATATTTATACAAGGTACAATAAAAAATTTCTAATAATAATTTATAAATTTATAAATTACAGATAATTTCTTAGTATAGAAATCATATGCAGCATGATTTGTGTAGAATATTAAGACTTATATGATTTCAGAAATTTTTTATTGTTTAAACAATAAAAAATCCCAGACACTAGTATAGATTCATATGGATAAGTATAGATAATGCAACATGTAGCCAAGCAATTTATGCCATATGCTGAAATAGTGTAGAAACAGGATTTCTAAAATAGTATGTGAACAGGTTTTCTGAAATAGTGTGAGAATAATGCTTAAAATCCTATAGTAATTTGTTGGCCTGCAGTCTATTGTTTTATATGTTTTTCTTGATTCATCTTATATTAAAAATGATATTTTTGAATAGCCAGCATTTTAATATAGTCTTTTAAGCCCTGTGCAAGAATATTGTATCCTTATTTTTGTTATTCAAATCAAAAAAATAATAAACAGAATTAGATTAACCATTATATTAGTCAAATTAAATGTAGGCATGAAGTTTTAACTTGTGCAACTGTTGATAGAACACTTTAGAAGATTGAATAGGAATAATGCCAATCTTTTGTAGCATACTATAATTTATGCAAAATACTGTATATTTAATATTAGTTTATTAAGCTTTATTTTTTCTATCTGCAGTTATTATTTTAACAGAAAAGAATTGGAACAAAAAAATCAAATTATAACTATTGTTAAATAGAAAACAATAAGAAAACAATTACAACATATTTAAGAAAAGTGATATAGAAAATTTACTACAATGTATTAAAGCATCAAGAAAATATAAAACAATAAATCTAACAAATATTGTCTTATTGCACCCAATTTGGTTTATGAAATAATGCCATTATTTTTAAGACAAAAACTAATTTTTTAACAAATTTGATTCAATAATTAAATCTTATAACATTTGGTAAGCATCAAAAATTTCTGTGATTTTTATAGTTTTTTATATCTTGACTGCTTATGATAATAAGTGTTTCCTTTAATGAAAAGAACAGAATTAAAATTACAACCATATGTTTCCTCTACAAAAATAAACATTATAGACTGCAAATTCTGTCAATTTTACACAGCTTAAAATAGATTCTTGAAGAATATAAAAAAAATGAAATTCATTACAATCTTTACATTCTTCTTGAGATTCACTATATTTTTAAATACTGCTAATTAGTTTATTTTATCTGATAGGGTTATATCTACCAAGAATTTCATTTGTGCCTTTAACTTTATAACTATGACAAGATCATTTTTTTTATTACAAAATTTTCAGAATGCTTTGCAAGTTTTTAATTTAAGTTTAAACAACTATTGTATACATATTAGAGTTTGAATATATGAGTAATTCTGCATACTGAAAGTAGTATGATAAATGTTCTTAAAGAGTTATAACCTTCATTATCTAATTAAATATGGATCGAAAAATAGAATAACAATATTCATTATAGTTTGCTTAAAGATTAAAATATAAGTCTATTTATTACATTTATATGAAGTATCGATTATTTAAGTAACTATTTTTTAGACTAATTAGAAATTTGTTGAGAATTCATTGTTTATAAATGTTTAATATACAAAAAAATATAAGAATATAAAAGTAATGCTTGAGCAATCTACATTAATAGTAAATTTTTGAAGAAAAAAAGTGCTAGTTTTTTTATCAAAATGGTAACTTATTTGATTTATTTATTCAATTTCTGACTAATTGAAAACTTGTCTCCAATCACTTGATTGAGGTGCTTGAAAACACCCTAAATGATATTTCAAGAAAATGAAATATCTTAATTATGCTTTGTCAGTAAGATGGATTGCAACTTTGATGAAACAGCATTTCAAAAAAAGGGGCTAACTCATAACTAATTATACTGCAACTAATCTTGAAATCTAATTAGTTAGTAAAAAATGTCACATGATCATTCGATATAGAGAAATATATATACAAGTCATGAGCTGATAAAAAAGTGTCTGAATGTGATATAAAGAATTTCTACTTTAGTTCAGTATAACCAGCTTAAATCATTATTAAAAATTCAGTTTATTAAGTCTTATTTATTATAATCTGATTTTGGTATAAACAAGTTTGATATATATAGAGTCGACTATATTAATTTAAGTTAATTATTTTAAAAATAAGCCTAAATAACTAGTATATACTATATAGAAATAACAAAACAAATGTATATAGAACTATATTTTTGAAAATATTGATATTGGTAGTATTTATTGTTATTATTATTATGTTAATATATATTGAAATATAAAAAATTAATTATATATAAATATCAAATTAACAATAAACAATGTATTTAATCAAAAAATAGATGATATACCAAATCAAGAAATAGAAAATATATCTAATCAAGAAATAGATAATATGCCTAATCAAGAAGTTGATATATTAGTTTAAAAAATATATAATCTATAAAATAAAGATTTTGTTAACAGATTACAAGAAATTCAAGAAATTGATAATATAGAAACTAATAATAATAAAATATATAAAAACTTTGATAAAGGTTTAGAATATAATAAAGAAAATTAAAGATCTAAAAAAGGTTAATCAAATATTTTTATTAAATAATAAATTAAATATTTTAGCATTTATATATATATTCTTTAACAATAAATCTAATATATAAAATATATATTTGTTTATTTATATATTATATATATATTTATAGCAAAAACTTTAGTTATTAACAATAATAATAATGATTAGGGTCAAGAATCTAATAATAATGATTTAGAATATACAAATAATGATTTAGAATTTACAAATAATTAATTTTTTAAAAATAATAATAAATTTTAAAAATAAATATATTTAATCATATATTTATTAATATTTATTTTTTTTATTTTTATTTTTTATTTTTTTGTTAAAGGCCATACTTTATAATAATACTTTATTGATTTTTATTGAGTTAATTATTACAACTATTTTTACAAAGATGAAAGTATAACTAGTTATATGTGCAACTTTTGGTTACCTATTTAAGTAGTCCATCCTAAGGTTCTACATTAGATACTGTACTTATAACCTACTAAAAGATTATTTATTTAAACCTTCTGATTATCTGCTCTGTTATAATTAGAGTTAGGGGCACAGAAAAATTTTTGGGCATGTCCCTTATAGAATGACATTCATATGATTGGCTAATTGATATCAATCAAAATGTGATTATTGACCAATCAAATCTTAAATTTTGCAAGTAAACTTTTATTATTAGCGAAGCTTTACCTTTACTTCTATTCAA